GGAGGGTGGGGAGGAAGGGGGAGAAAAATTTTAAACTCAAAAGCATATGGAAGTGATTGTTGATAAATCAAAATAAATTAATTAAAATTTTTAAAAAAGAAAACATATATGAACCGATGCAGTGAAGAGAGCAGAACTAGGAGAATAATTTATACAAGGACAACAACATGTAAAGACATGAAACTTTGAGAGATTTAGGAACTTTGATCAACACAGGACTTTGATCAGAGGACTCATGATGAAATATGCTACTCACCTTCTAACAAAGGTGATGAACTCAGAGTGCAGATTGAGACAAAAACATTTTTTTTTCCGACATGGACAATGTAAGGATATGATTTGCTTAAATATAGATGTTTGCAACAGAGCTTTATTTTTTCTGTCTTTCTTAGTGGGGTTAAGGTATGACATGGGAAAGAGAGAAGCTGGATTTTCATTGACTTTAAAAAATATATAAAAAATTTTAAATGGTACGTGAACTTTTATCAAGATGATAATTCTCAATTAATTCATGGAATTAAGGCATTTACTGCTGTCCTCCTGTTTTATTCAGCTACAGTAAGTAGCTGTTGATTTTATGATTCCAGTAAAGACTGGGATCAATCTAAAGAAACTATTCATTGGGAAACAACTCAGTGGAAAGGTTGAATTTAGAACAACAACAACAAAAAATCATCCAAGACAAAACTGAATCTCTTGGTTCCAAATCACAAATTATTTAAGCTAGTTTACCATTTCCTAAGCATCTCACCATAGGAGGCACAGGTGAGATGGAGAGGAAGGGAAACAGTACAAGCTCTTATGAGGATGATTGGATTAATTGGACTAATATTCTTTGTATTGTGAATGATGGAATGATACTGTTTTTTCCCTCCAGTGCCTTATATTTTCATTAAGCACCTACTGTGTGCATAACACCCCACTGGCACATGGAGAGATTAAAAAGTTCAGAAAATATAGTGTCCCTAACCTCGTGGAACTCATGATATTTGAAGAGGGATGATACACAGATGGAGAGGGCTAGAACACAAAATTTGACACGGTGGGCGAGTTACAAAACAAATGGGCAGTAGGTCTGAGGGGAGAGTTGAAGTTGAAGGTTGAGGTTGAGATTGATACAGGTACACCGAGCATCAGGGAAGGTTTCCTGGAAGAGATTACATTTGAGTGGAATTTTAAAGGACTGCTAAGAGTTTAGCAAGCAAAAGGGAAGGCATTCTGGCTGGAAGACTCCAGATGTATATCAAGGGATAACGAGTGGTTCACTTTGGTCAGAGTAACCACTAACTTTGTGACCTTGAACAAGACCCTTTACCTCTTTGGGCCTCAGTCTTTCATATATAAAGGAGGAGGAAAGGCAATTTTAGATTTAGAAGGATCCTCAGCATCCAATCCAATCACTTCATTTTATACATGAAAACACTGAAGCTCAGGGAGACTAAGACTTGTCCATGAACATATGCAGGTAATAAGCATTGGGGATAGGATCTAAACCAGGTCCTCTGATTCCAGATCTAGTGCTCTTCCCATTGTACACAGGTGCCCTTCAATCATCTCTGAGATCCCATTTAACTCTAATAGTCTAGCACTTTGTAACTATGATTCCTAAACAGTTAAGTATAGACAACTCTGACTGAAGTTGGGAAGTAGTGCAGTACTAGGCAAAGGACACTGATACTTCCTGTGTGACCATGGCCAAGTCCACTTAACCTACCTCGACTTCAGTTTCCTCAGTTGTAAAATAGGGAAGGGGGAGTCGGACCGATAAGGGCTTTGAGGTACCCTTCTGCTCTAGACCTATGATCCAATGATTACAAATTCCCTACATTTCCTCCTCAAGTAAGGCACCAGAATGTGGAGCAATGCAAGAAAGAACGTTTGGTCATTAGAAGGTGAGAATAGCAATCACATGGTAGAGTATACACATTATTGTATATCTTCTTGGTCACAGCATAAGTACCATTGATAATATCATCATCAGACTACAGTAGCAAGTGAGGAAAGAAAAAACTTAAGAAGAAAATGGCAGCCCAGTTGGTAGCTCTGATGTCAATGGTATATTAATAAGACTGAATTGTGGGAAGTTACTTTTGACTCTTATTATTTTCTCTATATGATTGTTTCACTCTGCTTTTCTAAGGGACATATATTACAGGAAAGTATGAGACTTGACACAATGTGCATTCATTACAGGCCTAAAGACATGAATGTGTAAAAAATGGTGCACTCTGTAAATTTTCATTAGGGTTTTAGTTTGTTCATAAGAAACTTAACTTGCTTTAAACTTCATAGTGAATGACCTTCTGCTTTCCCACAAAGCCCATTTGTTGAAATGTGAGCCTTTGTTTCCAAGGCTCTTAGCCCACAGGGCAAAGCCCTCATAGAAACCTTTAGGGTCGTGATGTTTTGTAAGGATGCACATGCCTAGCCTCGATTCATCAGAGCACATTAAGTGGACTGTGGATACATCACTAATTCTCTCACTCCCAAAGGCCTACATGGAGATCCTATGACCAGGTTTATATAGGGGTTCATGCACTTTGCAGAGCACATTCACCAGGGAGCCAGCATCAAATTGCAACTGCAGTGGAAGACAGGAATCCCGAGTCTAAAAGCAGGCATCTCCTGGAGTTGTGCCTACTGATTAATGAAGACACCAGGGTTTAGGTTTTCTAAAATTAAGTGCTGTGTCTGATTTTAGGTTAAAATTGCTTTCTGCCTATCAGCAAAATCTTTACGCACGTAGTAAGAGAGCGTGGCATACCTCTAGAAACATGACACAGTTACTTAAAACTTTTCTGCACTTAAACCCAAATAACAAAATACACCCTATAGTCACCTGCACTCTCTCATTACATTTGAACCTTTCCCTCAAATACACTCTAGCAATACTATGCAAATATCACACCTGAAAACGATTACATGCATACACCCGGTGAGTGAAGGAAAAGTATGGATTCTATCCCAGACAAGCTCACCATAAGTCACTTTCCCCAGGAAACCTCTCGTTCTCTCCCCTCAGTGTGCTCCTCTCTGCCTTCACTGCTGGAAATAGCTGTTAGACATTTCTCCAGAAAGATGACAGTTAAGTATTAAAATTCTAAATCCCAGAGGGAAAGAAGTCACAACCTTTACATACTTTCGTAAAGGGCTGCCACCTCTCAAAAAAAAAGCTATGAGCCACAAAAGAATTGCACCTCAAAAGTGGTACCCCCAAAGAAAAAATTAGGAGGGGCGCAGAAAAACCTGAACTTCTTTGCCGCTAAAGGAATGGTGTCACCCTCGTGCTTCCCTCTCACCTGGCTTGGGGACCGGACAGAGACTTACCGAGGAGCCAGCCCAAAAGGGGCACGAGTTCTTCACCTGCGGGGAACTACTCAGAGACAGCGCCCCGAAGCTGAGCGCCACCATGCAGCAGCCTAAGATGAGCTGCAAGAGCCCCAGGGACAGCAGTGGGCGGGCGGGCAGCAGTCCGGAGCCCGGGACCCCAGCGGCGGCCGCGGCCGCGGCGGCCCGGCGGGCGGACAACGGGGGCTGCGGCGGTGAGAGCACGGAGGCGGCCGAGGCAGCGGCACAGCGAGGCCGCGCCGGGGGCTGCAGCCCTGCCCGCGACCAGCGGGGCCGGAGCGGGGCCAGCGGCGGTTCTTGGGCGGCGGCGGCCGCCGCGGCCGCGGCGCCCGGACCCCCAGCCTGCGTCCCTGCGGAGAGTCCCGCCACCGGGCAGCAGGAGCCCGGGAGCACCACCGGCAGAGACATGGGCACAGAAGGGTGGGCAGCAGCGGCGGCAAGGAGACGCTGAAGGGCAGGGACTGGATCCCCGCCGGGTGGAGAGGACCGGGAGCTGGAGAAGAAGAGGAGGAGGAGGAGGCGGCGGCGGCGTCGAGCACCACCCAGAGTGAGGCAAGGGGCGGGAGCAAAGGAGCTGTCCGAGAAACGAAGAAAGAGAGAGATGGTAGCCCGGCTACTGCTGCCGGTGCTGAGCTCGCTCCAAACACCGGAGGATTCGGACCCTTGGCCAGAGCCGGTCTTCCAACACTTGCCGCTGGGCTGCTGCTGAGGCTGCTGCCGCCGCCGGACCCACCCAAACCACCTGCCGCCACTGACAGTCTCCTCCCTCCCCCACACCGACGCCAAACTACTTGCTGCTGCTGCGGCCGCCGCCACAGCCTCCGCCCACGGTCAAGTGCACGGGCACTCGCGCTTTCTGCCGCTCTCCCAACGGTTCTGCTATAGCCCGGGGGGGAGAGCAGCAAGCAGCCAGCCTCTCTCGGCCCGCGTTCCCCTTAGGCGTGAGGGCGGGGAGGAAGGCTCTGAGCTTGAAGTTTTAAAATAACTCCTCCTGGGGTAGTAGGGACGGCCACAGGAGCAGCTGGATGGCGTGTCGGTCTTGGCTGCCGGCCCTTCGAGGAGAGAGAGAGGGGATCCTGGGAGAGAGCGAGCGGCGGGGGTTGGGGGGGAAAGAAAGGAGACTGGGTTTGTTTGGACGCTGCCGCGGCTGCCAGTGCCAAGCAGGCGCCGAGCTGGGTCCCGGGTCTCCCTTTCCCCAGCCGCGTCTCTACCTCCAAACCGGTGTCTCGCTGGAGTTAGGCGGTCTGAGGATGACCTCACAGCCAGCTCTAGCTTCTCGGCCACCAGCCTGCGTCTCAGAGTTCCTGCGTTTCTAGGAAATCCTTGGGGCCGAGGAAGTCTCTAAACTGCTGGGCTCAGAGCCGGGAACAAGAGGGTGACCCGAGCCGGCAGGGTCGCTCTCCAGTCTCCACTTGTTGATGATTTCTGCCTGGCTCACTACACCAAGCAGCCGCGCACGATGTCACTTTGCGTCGTTTCTTTAACCTGTTTCTGGGGGTCCTGTCTCCACGTGGGTGAATGGATGGGGAAAACTGGGAAGGGACAGAGAGGGCCCTAGAGCAGCTAGATGGGAGCAAACAGTCGTACCCGGGACCACCGAAAATAGCTACAAAGCATCAGGAAATAAAGGATTGGGTGAGTTCACCGCTTACCTCCGGGAAGGGAGGTCGCGAGTTCAATTCCCACACCCAGCCTTTGGCTCAGGGCTTCAGGATGCTGACACTGCAGTGCAGAGCTGCAAGGGAGGGGCTGCTAGGAGGAAGATCTTGAAGTGAGGTGTTCCACAGAGAAGCTCTTTCGGAAAAACTCACAGTACCCATGATGGGAGAAAGCCAAAGGATAGGTCCATCCCATCCCGGTATTTGAGTGAGGCCAGAGACACAGGTTTTTATATTTGTCTGTTCGCCGCCGCCCGCTCCCCCCCCCCCAGTCGATATCAAGAAAGGAATTTTCTCGTGTCTGGAAAGGACTGAGTGTATAATGAATGCTACATCCATCTACCTCCCCTGACACCCCTACTCTAAATTAATCATTCCTTGGTAGATAGAAGAGAAATTCTTAAACTTCCCAGGGAAAACCAAAACAAATGAAATTCCAATCTAGGCACTTGAATTCATTTGAATATTTGCCAGACACTTTCACATTTGCTTTTAAATGTGACTTGCCCTTGATAAATGCTTTACCCCAATAACATGCGATGAGGGGAAACTTTAATGCTCCGAAAATGCTACTAAACCTAAGGTGATTTTAATGGATTTTATGGTGGATGAAAGCCAAGGCAGTGTGATTTTGCAATTAAGTCATATTGGGTGTTATGGCAGATAATCTTGGGATGGGGGTATTTAGTGTCCTCCTGTTTAATGGATTCCTAGGATTTAAAGCTAAAAGGGACTTTAGGGTTACCTAGTGAAATCCTCTCATTTTACAGATTAGCCTGAAGCTGGTTAAGAGGTTAAGTAATTTGACTTGCCCCTGTCACACAATTAACAAGCATGAGTATCAGAGCCAAGATTTGAGCCCATATCCACCTGCCTCCAATCCTCCAGCTGGTTCCACTACACCAAACTGTTTCTCCTATAAAACTTCCTTCTTTTATGGTTTAAATATGGCCAGAGATTGTATCCACTTCATCATAATTTATGACCCTAAATATATGTCATATGCACTGCCAATAGGTTTGCATACAAAGTTATAGAATTTCTAAAGTATTTTGAGAAGACATTCCCTTTACAGACTACTGTTGGAAATGAAGACTTAAATTTATAGAAATATAGAATAACTCCAGCTAGGTTCAGTAGAAAGGACATTATAGCTTGGCCATTTTGTCATAGGACCAAAGATTTAGAGCTGAAGCTGGGAATCACTTGAGCTTAGGAATTCTGAGCTTCAGTAGAGCTAAAGCAGATGGGGTGTCCCTACTAAGACTGCTATCAATATGGGGGGGGGAGGCACCAGTCTGTCTAAGCAGGGATCATCTTTACGACCAGCTGAGGTCAGAAATGGAAGAGGCCAATCAGCTGTGAGACTAGCCCTAAAGTAGCTGCAGTATAACCACCATGGATGACAGGGGAAGATCAAACAAACAAATGAATGAATAACTCAGTAATTCAATGGATCTCTAATCTCATACATACAAAATTAAATGAGATTGTAGACACACATTTTATATATAAAGACACTTCACAAATCTTAAAGCTCCCTAGAAATAGCAGTCATTGTTATTATTCCATTGATACCCCATCCAGTGGTTCAGGCAGCAACCTGACTTCCCATTCTGTCAGAGGCACAGAGGATACACCTAGCAAGGTAGAAGCTTCACTCTTGGTCTTTTAAGATTCCTAGTATAAGGAAAACATTGTACGTAGTAGCAGCAACATTGTGCAATGACCACCTCTGATAGATTTAGTAATGCAATGATCTAAGACAATTCCAAAAGACCCATTATGGAAAATGCTATCCACATCCAGAAAAGAACTACAAAGTCTGAATGCAGATTGAAGTATATACTATTTTCTCATTTTTTTCTTTCTTGTGGTTTTCCACTTTTGTTCTGATTCTTCTTTCACTACATGACTAATGTGGAAATATGTTTGATATGATTGTACACATATAGCCTATATCAGACTTCATGCCACCATGGGAAGGAGAGGTGGGAAGGGGAAATTTAGAACTCAATCTTATAAAAGTGAATGTTGAAAAGTAAAAATTAACTAATTAATTAAATATAATTTAAAAGTAAGGATAGGAATTGAGGACACTTCCAATAAAAAAAAAAAGATTCCTGATATATTAGAGCAGGGCCTTGGATTGTCATAGTTTTATAGATTTAGAGGTAGAAAGGATGTTATAGCTCGGCCATTTTGTCATAGGACCAAAGATTTAGAGCTATTTAAGGCTGTTAGGTAATGTATAAGTTCTCCGTCATAGGGTCATAGATTTGGAGCTGAAAAGCACTTCAGAAGCTACATAGTCTAACTCTCTCATTTTACAGATGAGGAAACTGAGGCTCTGAGAGCATAAGTGGAATGTCCAAGGTCATACAAGTATTAAGTAGCTGAGTAAGAATTCAAATTCACATACACTGATTTCAAATCCAAAGCTCTTTCCACCACACCATGTTGTATCCCTCACCCTAACTATATAAGCCCATCTTCTTTTCGCATCATATAATTCATCTACCTATACATATATATATACACACACACATACATATATCCATATATATGTATATATGTGTGTGTGTGTATATACATACATACATATATATATATATATATATATATATATATATATATATATCTCCTGAGGACAAATGGTCTTTAAAAAAAAACTTTAAAAAGTGTTGCCTTGAAAAGACTTTTATGTAAGAACAGGAGATATTGTCTGTATTTCTGGATTATAAGCATCTTGGGGACAGAGCAGGGAATATGTCCCTAATTCTATGTAGAATTTTTCCCTCACAAATTTATAGTACTTGATTTATGCTGATAGTTCTATTAGCCATTAAAAATAAAAGAGTGATATCAAGGATAATTGAAAGCCACAGGGAATACAGGAATCTCATTTAAACCACTAACTTTGACTTCTACCTAGAAGGCTAATTAATTGAATTTGCTTTGTTGTATATTCTTGCTTATAGATGACCTTAATGGATGATGGATTTAGAATTGGGAGGGATGCAAAGGATCATCCCACCCCCTCATTTTATAGATGAAAAAACTGAAGCCTAAAGATTTCTCCTAGGTCTCATTGTTAGTAAATCTCAGAGATTAGTTTATGAATTTAGGTCCTCTGACATCAGAGACACTATTCAATTTCCTCTGTTGCACATTGCCTCTTAAAGATACAGGCATGCACTATTATAATGAAGAAAATCTTAATAGAATATCATATCCATGAGCAATTCAAGCAACACAGTCTTTATGTCCAACATGGTACCTGGTAGTATCCAGGTCAAAAGCTTATATGCCCAGGTTCTTGTGGAAGGCAAGTTTCATTACTTTAAAAAGTGAGTAGTCAACCTTCATGCTGGAGAACAGATAAGGACACATTTCCCTCTTCAAAGCATGAATGTGGCATATTCAAGAGTAGAAGGTTGCATACGTTATCGGATTCAATCATTTGAACTGTAATATATGCTTTTATTTGTTATCATTGGGAGTGGAGGTAAAGCATAGTATATACAGAAATTGCAATGATTTTTAAAGTGGAAAGTTAGAACTGCCCAATTTGAATGCAAAAACGGCGTTTGTATGCTCACCTTGGTGAGATGTCCACTTACCAGTGTGAGCAAAGAAGTTTAGGTGTTATAAATATTTTGAAAAGGACTTCTGAAAAGTTTGGCCATAGTACTACATATAGGTAGGTAAAAAGAACACAGGAACAATAACAAAATACAATAATATCACTGTGGAAACAACAAAAGCTCCCATTTTTCTCAGGATCAAGGCCAAAATGATGTCTCCAAACCTTTCCCCCAATTTACCCTCTCCCTCTGCCCTCCTTCATAGACTTCATTTTCCTCCTCTCTCACTCATATTACCTTCAGTATTAACGGAGCGCATTACCAATTCCTTTTTACATTCTTTTCTCTTCCTTTAGCATTCAAATCTTTGTTCAGGTTAGTCTTAACATTTTCAAGCAAACTCTTTCCTCCCTTATTCTAAGCCCTATAAGAGAAAGCAAGCAGTTGCCCATGCCATGTGATTTTTTGAGTTTTCTCATTTTATTTTTTAAATTTTATTAATTTATTTTGATTTATCAACAATCACTTCCATATGCTTTTGAGTTGAAAATTTTTCTCCCCCTTCCTCCCCCCATCCTCCCCAAGACCACACACAATCTGATATAGGCTATACATATACATTCCTATTAAACATATTTTCACATTAGTGAAGTTGTAAGTAAAAATTAAAACCAACAGGAGGAACCATTAGAAAGAGGAACCAAAACTCGACAGAAGAGAAAAAAATGATAGCAATTCAACTTCATAGTTCTTTCTTTGGATGTGGATAGCATTTTCTACCACGAGGCCTCTGGGGATGTCTTAGATCCTTGTATTGCTGAGAAAGGTTAAGTTTATCAATATTAGTCATCGCACAACGTGGTTGTTATCGTGTACAAAGTCCTCTTGGTTCTGCTCATTTCACTCAGCATCAGACCATACAAGTCTTTCCAGGTTTTTCTGAAGTCAGCCTGTTCATCATTTCTTATAGCACAATAGTATTCTATTACATTCATATGCCACAACTTGCTCAGCCATTCCCCAATTGATGAGCATCCTCTCAATTTCCAATTCTTTGCCACCACAAAAAGAGCTGCTATGAATATTTTTGTACATGTGGGTCCTTTTCCCATTTGTATGATCTCTTTGGGATATAGCCCTAGAAGTGCTATTGCTGGGTCAAAAGGTATGCGCATTTTTGTAGCCTTTTGGGCATAGTTCCAAATTGTTCTCTAAAATGGTTGGATCATTTCACAACTCCACCAACAATGCATTAGTGTTCCAATTTTCCCACATCTCCTCCAACATTTATCATTTTCCTGTTTTGTCATGTTGCATGTCATGTGATTTGAAAGTGCCTCTATAGAGGCAGGCTTCCAAAATACTTATGGACATATTGGAGACTTTCTCTCTTTCTCCTGATATCAAGAGTTTATGGGTGATACATTCTGGCTGCCATACTGTCATCCCTTGCCCAAGCCATATGACTACACCTTTCTTCCTAGCATATAATTTTTGGTATCTTTTACTTCAGTTTTCCTCATTGTTATATGTAGTTTCAGCCTGTGCATACTACCGTGTGTCCCTCCATTGTTTGCTGTGTGGTTTTCATTTTTAGTTCTTTAGAAAATGTTGTAACTCATGCCTTGCGGCTATATATCAACAACAATAGAATACTGTCATTAAAAAGATGGGACTTTGCTTTCATGGGAAGTTTGGTGTCATTAACGGAGTTTTGCAATTTCTCAAAAAAATTACCCACTGTCCTTTTATTTAACTCTGAGCCTGATATTTTGTCCATCTGTACTACTTGTCCCATATTTATATCCTGATGGAAAAACTTCATAGGTTGTTCATTATATGTTGAAACTTGGGCAATAGACATTCTTCATCTACTTCATTTTTTTTCCTGTGCAGATGATTAGGTCAAACTCCTTTGAGTAATTATAGGTCTTTTCCAGGAAGCTCTACTGTGTTTAGGGTTTGACCCAATCAGCACAATGTCTTCCACAAACAGGAGCTTCTGGAGGAACTCTCCATCTATGGAGAATCCATCCACAACTTGGATTCTTCACCAGATCTCCTCCATCACAGTGTGAAACTGCTTTGGTGAGCATAAATCTTGTTTTACACCTTACCTAATGTTTATGATCAGAACCTGGTCAATGAGCCTGGTCATTTCAAGTTTTTATATTTTTCAAGGAATCTTGAATGATTTTAATGCATACCTTGTAAAAAAGATCAAAAAGTGGCATTTTATTTTACTGAATCAATTTTTTTTTTGCTAGTTAACAAAAAAGAACCATGGGGTGGGGGGATTGCTACATCTTTCAATTAATTGTGACATATGGTCCATTGCTAAACATCACTTTCAAAACCTGGTTGTTCCCCATAAATACTTTCATTAATGAATCTCTCTATCCAAATATAGATAATTTATAAAGATTTTTTATAGATGGAAGTGTAGGTATATAGGCCAGTAGATATTATTATTGTCTCAGTTACCTTTTTTGGTATTAATAAGGTCCAAGATTTTTTCTATACATTTGACATCTTTCTCTTTCAAAAAAGTTTTTTTTTTAATTCCTTCAATTCTGTTGCTTCCAACATGGCTCTCTTCAGTATAGACTTTGTCTGATAATGTCTGCTTTTCTTTGTTCTCTTTGTTCTCTTTAGTGCACTTTCTACCTTTTCTATAAGTAGATTCGGTTCTGTGATATTAAAGTCCAAGTATAGTAGTTCTACTCTCCTTGTCAGAGAAAACAATACTAATAGGTAATCATTGATTTAACTAAGTCCTTTGCTCTACTACTTTACTCACCTATTCATGTACCTGGAAGTAAATGCATGTAAACGTGAGCTGTTTTTTAAATAAAGACACAGATATATCTATATGCACTTGGTGGAATCATGGGATCAGAGCTGTAGACATCGAAGGGACCCTAAAAGTCATTTAGTCTAGCTGTGGAACAATGAAAAGAGTGCTAAACTTGGAATTTGGAATTAGGGGACCTAACCGAATTCTAGACCTGAGATTTTACTACCCAGTTGATTTCTGGAAAGTTTATTTCTCTGGGCCTTAATTTCCTTATCTCTAAAATAAGATGGTAGGACTAGATGACCTTTGAGGTCATAGATTTCCAGTCCATTTT